CGTCGTGGATGATACTCCTAAGACCATAGAAGAAGCATACTCATCTCTTGAAGCTGACTTATGGAAGGAAGCTGTTCACAGTGAGATGGACTCTATTATGTCTAACAGAACTTAGGAGGTGGTTGATCATCCTTACAGGTGCAAACCTATGGGATGTAAATGGGTGTTCAAGAAAAAGCTTAGGCCTGATGGTACTATTGAGAAGTAAAAGGCGAGGCTTGTAGCAAAGGGCTATATGCAAAAAGAAGGTGAAGATTATTTTGATACTTATTCACTAGTTCCCCGTTTAATGACTATACGAGTGCTACTCTCCTTGACTGCCTCACATGATCTTCTCATTCATCAAATGGACATTTACACACCTTTCTTGAATGGAGAGCTTGAGAAGAGATCTATATAGATCAGCTGGATGGATTTTTAGCAAAGGGTCAAAAAGGAAAGGTGTGTAAGTTATTAAAATCTTTGTATGGTCTAAAACAAGCACCTAAACAGTGCATGAGAAGTTCGACAGAACTTTGACATCAGCACGCTTTGTTGTGAACAAAACTGATAAATGTCTATACTATCGGTATGTTGGAGGAGAAGGTGTGATCTTGTGCTTATATGTGGATGATATACTAATTTTAGAAATAATGTTAATGTGATCAAGGAAGTGAAAGACTTTTGTCTAGTAACTTTAAAATAAAAGACTTGGGTGAGTCTGATATTATTCTTAACATAAAGCTACTGAGAGAAGGAAATGGTGGGGTAACACTTATGCAATCCCACTACGTGGAAAAGGTATTGAATCGATTTGGATATAGTGATTGCACGCTTGCTCCAACTCCTTATTACCCAAGTGTGCTATTAAGGAAAAATCAAAGAATAGCATGGGATCAATTGAGATGCTATCAAATAATTGGATCGCTTATGTATTTAGCCAGCGCAACTAGGCCTGACATCTCATTTGTTGTGAGTAAACTCAGCCGGTTTGTTTCAAATCCAGAAGGTGATCATTGGCATGCTCTTGAGAGAGTATTGCGCTATCTAAAATGGACCATGAGCTATGACATTCACTATACCAGGTATCTGAGGGTACTAGAGGGTTATTATGATGCAAATTAGATATCTGATGCTGATGAGATTTACGCCGTAAGTGGATATGTGTTCTCATTTGGAGGTGGCGCTGTTTCATGGAAGTCTTACAAGCAGACCGTCTTAATGAGGTCAACAATGGAAACAGAACTCACAGCACTAGATACTGCCTTAGTTGAAGCTGAGTGGCTTCGTGAACTCCTTATGGATTTACCGGTAGTTGAAAAACTAATACTGGTTATTTCCATGAACTGTGATAATCAAAGTGAACAGTTCTAGGAATAATATGAAGTCTACAAGGCATGTGAAGAGGAGGCTAAAACCTGTCAGAAAACTGAGAAACTCCGAATTAATTGCATTGGACTATGTCCATACATTTAAGGATCTAGCAGATCAGTTTACAAAAGGACTATCACGCAATGTGATAGATGGTGCATCGAGGGAGATGGGCTTAAGACCCACTTGAGGTCATTCCATAGTGGTAACCTGTCCTATGTGATCGGAGATCTCATGAAGTAGGATGGTGAAACAAGCTAGTGATTGACTGATAGAGAAACTCCTTATTTTAAGGTCCAAATCATTATGAGATGCACTGTTTCTCCTATGTTGTATGGCAGGATGGTTAATTCCTTAATGTATTCCGAGTGGCTTATTTAAGCAGGGATGTTGTCCTACAGAATGTCCTAGAAGGAAAACACCAATGTGAGTTCGGCTGCTAGTTACCGTCTATGAGATGTGGGTAATCTCTAGATACTCATGAAAGGCTTGGAAGTGTGACTTATATGCTTCGAAACAAAGGGGATGCTTGTAGCCGCCTAGTACCATGAAAGAACTTTGGTGAAACTCAATTCGTACAAAACTGTCAATTCAAGGCATAGTCCATTGTTCAGTTGTCGATGTGTGAAGCCTCTATTCTAGATGGATGTTCAACTTAACAGTCTCTGTCGAAACTCTAGTATATCAAAGATTTGTGGTTTTGAGATTATTTACTACGTACCCTAGAGTTTGGTGGGGATTGTTCGATATATTATGGGCTTGGCCTGTATAATATTTAATAAATCGAATAAACTCTATGGCGTGTAATAAATAATGTGCTGATTATGGTTTAATACCATATGGAATTTTGATTGAATGGTAACTCAATTTATATGATTGGATATTGTCCACCTATATTGAAAAGTTGAGAAAAGGACATTGGTGTGCCACACGCATGCGGGCGGCGTGGCCCATGGGCGTGGCGTGGCGAGGCGAGGCAGGCAGGCAGGCGACGAGCGAGCGGACGGACGGACGGGGCCATGTTTTGCCAATCAAGTCACATAATTACGGGAGTTTCTTCCGTTTTTAATTGGTGGTGATTTGATGACGGGAATTTCTCTGTTACCGCCGCTGATCGATGATGGCGAGAGCTCTCTGGTCTCCTGTCTCTTGAAATCCTCCTGAGCTCTTTCGCTTACCCTGCAAGTGACTAAATAGTGCCTCCCTTCAGTTAATTTTTCAGTTCGCTGGCAACAACCACTCTTCTGCTGCCTCAAAGTTTCTCCGTCCCAGTACTTGCGCGCACGAGTCCTGGGAGAGTAGGCCTCCGAAACGCCTGCCGTCTATGAGTTCGCCTGCTCGGGTGGAAGGCGGCAATCATGTTTTTGGGGAGTGTCGCTGACGTCACGACTACTCGCTATGTCTTCTTCTTCCCGGCGCACGGCGAAGGCTCTCTGGTGATCGGCACTGCTTCCCTTCTACACTGCATCGAGCGGGACGACTACACCGACAGGCACTATGTCGACTAGTGCATCCGGCTCTGCCGTTGGGTATGATTCTGTTGTTCGCTATCCAGTAATGTTTTGGATCAATATCTTGCTGGTTAGTATCATCTATATGCTATTCATGCTTAGTGCACACAATCACATGATGTCACAAACTTTTTTATTATTGCTATTTTCTAGATTAAATTATTACTGAAATTGCGTAAAATTCTAACATTTCCTTAAAAAAAAGTGACTTGGCACTGAGAACATCCGTTGGTTGAACCGGCATGCCATCTTAGAGTAGATTCCCACCATTGCAAGGAACCTCAATTATATATGAAGGAAATTGTTCTCAATGAGCATATAATATAACAGATGCCAAGGTAAAATTAAGTAAAACTTGTGGGCCCACCTGTCTCATTAAGTACTAGCTTCTAGAAAATGAACATCCTGGCTTCTCAAGTCCTACTAGCTTCTACTATATTCTTTTGATTGGTATATACAGTCCGAGTGGAATTTAATTAGTAGTAGGTTAAAATCCTATCTTGCCTGGACCAACAAGCCTAGGGATGATGTAGCAGGCAGCGGACGATCTCTCATCAAACGGCTTGGCACGGACCGGCGCAAGACCGCCAAGTCCACGGTACTTCAGTCTCCCAGCGTCCACCTCCATGTCAACCCGTGTTAGCTCCTGCACCGCTTCCGGCCCACCACCAATTAACCAGCCTTCGCCAAAACCTGGTCTAAAACTGCTGTTCAGCGGATGGTTTTTACGGCTGATAAATCGATTGAAGTTGTATTTTTTTTAGAGAAAAACGTTGAAGCTAATTTCTTATGAAAAAAAATATTGTTTCATAGCTGATAAGCCAGACTGATAAGGTCTAATTTATATAGCTAGCTAAACTTCAGTTATGGTGCATCCAAACAAAGCCATAGACTATATATGTCTAGAAAATCAATGTACATAGATATACAAAATCTAAACGTCTTACCGTTTAGAACAGAGGTAGTTTTATATTCGTTTGATTGGTATATAACGGAGGGAGTAATATTTTATACTTTTGATTGGTATATACGGTCCGAGTGGAATTTAACTGATCAAACGACTGGGCTCGGACCGGCAAGGCCGCCAGGTCCACGCTACTTCAGTCTCCCAGCGTCAGTGCGTCACACCTCATGTCAATCCGTGTTAGCTCCTGCACCACACCAGGCCCGTACATTAGCAGGTGCAAAGTGTGCGACTGTTCAGGGCCTCCAAAATTATAGGGACTACAAATTTACACATTACACTAAGTATTAAGTACTAAGTAGCAATTAGCGACCAGGCCTGCAATCAATAATTTGTTAATTGGAGCACTGGCCCAACGTAAGGCCCAAAGCCATCCGCCATGCCAGCCCACCAGCCTGCTTGGGTGACTCCTTAGCTTCCCCATACGTACAGATTGGCCGGCGACGTTTTATTTTCCTGTGCCGGTGTGCTGCAAACCAGCCGCTGCTAGAGCTGCAGCACGCCGAGTCGCCGACGTCGGCAGTTCGACACCGCGGCGACTACGCCACCATCGCCAAGACGCCGAGCCGTCGTCCGCCGAGAGTCAACACGTCGGCAGCTCGGTATGCACACGGCTTTCATCCCCAATTGTTTACGTTTGTATCTTAAAAAGCAAATTAGTCTAAAAAATTGCATTATAATCAGGGATTCCAGAGGAGATTTCGAGATTTGCATCATATCTTCTAGAAATAGGAGGTTTGATTCTGGTCATGAAAATATAATTGAAGATATAATTGAAGACTTCATTTCAAAGAATACTAAGAGAATGATACTTTTCAGTAGAACATAAGGTCAGTTGGTTGCCTAAGTACTTTTTGTATTGTTTTATCATTAAGATTTGATATGTTCTAAGTACGGTAAGAACAACATATATTTGAAGCTTTATAATTAAGCAAAAGTATGCTTTTGTTATATTATTTTCTTATATAATTTTAGAGCCACATCACGCGTTTCGTTCAGGGTCTTCCAAATCGTACGGGCCTGACCACACCACCAACCAGCCTTCGCTGAAACCCGGTCAAGACGTCAAGTCCACGGGACCTATAAGTCACAACTCACAAGAAACCAAACGCGTGCCCAGTTGGAGCTAACAAAACTGCTAGATGAGCGTGAGCCCACCTCGTCTTCTCGCCACCATGGCTGCCAACCTACCGCGTCTCCCCGTCCTCCTCTTCATCTTCCTCGACGTCCATGTCCCCTCCACCCATGGCGACCCTCCTCTTCCGAGCACTTACGACGTCTCCATGTGCTCGGAATCCACCTGGTGCGGCAGCAACGAAATCCGCTACCCGTTCTATCTTGCCAACGCAACTGAAGCAACCGCCGATCACAGCGGGAACTACTCTTGCAGCTACATCGACTTGAGCATTTCCTGCAAACTCGAGGGGCAGGCCTTGATCCCTACCATCCGTCTCGGCGGCGACGACTACACCGTCGAGAACATCTCCTACAACTACAACGATGGGACCATCATACCGGTGGACAACGACGTGTTCGTCGGCGGCAGCTGCCCCGCAATCAGCCACAACGTCACCTTCGACGAGACATGGCTGCATAACACCAGCTCCAACGGCAACCTCACCTTCTTCTTCGGCTGCGACCTACACGATCCCGTGGCGCATGAATTTGACGCATTCAAAATCATATGCGCGGGGTTCAAGAGTCCGCCAGATGCTGCCCCAGGAGATCGAGACTCCTTCGTGCTCACGTAGCCTGGTGAGCTTGTTGACAGGTATCTGGTGCAAGAATTAGCTACGAACTGCAGCGAGGTTGTCACCGTGCCAGCGAGAGGCGATGTTCTGATGGCAGCAAGTAACCAGAGCAACTTCACAAGCGGCGGATACGGAGACGTGCTTTGGCGTGGGTTCGAGTTGGAATGGAGCCGTATCACAGGCACAGCGGATGGGTGTCACCTGTGCGAGGAGTCGTACGGGCAATGCTCCTATATAGCCAGCACAGGGAATTCCTGGGCTGCTTGTGCCACGGAGGGAAGGTGGGCGACCCGTACTGCAAACACATCGTCCCTGCCAGCACCGCAACTGCATCAAGTAAGCCCTTAAACCTACAGTCTAAAAACTAAATCTGCTCCATCTACAGTCTGCACAGCCAACCATTATTCCACTCGGACTTCCGATGCTACGCCTGTGTGTCTTTCTATTGAGGCTTCGCTTCAGACTAAAATGAGTTTCAGGATTAGGTTTCCTATTCACAAACAAAAAACGAAGAACTGAAAGCTCTTAAATTTTCAGAAGAATCGAAGACAATGAGCATGATGGGTTTTGCATAGGCCACCATGAATGAATTGAATAAATTTAGGCTCTCATCACCAGCCCATATAGGGTGTTTGGTTTAAGGAGCCACTTCATCTTAGATAAGGTATCTGGTGCAAGAATTGGCTCTCATCATTAAATTTAGGCTCTCATCATCATGAGTTTATTCCTCAAATTTGGTGAAATGACTTCATTTCTCATACAGTACTAGTTAATGAAGTAATGATGCATCAGCCTATTCCATTCCACAAACCAAACAAAAAAAATGAGGAATGAGTATACGATGAACAGCCTCATTCCCCAAACCAAATAGCCCTACGAATCCATTACTTGGTCAAGCTTTCATCATTTCGCCAATCAAGTGGCTTGGACTGAGAACATCCGTTGAACCGGCATGCCATCTTAAAGTAGAATGCAACGGCTGCAAGGAAACTCAATTATGAGGAAACTAGAAGGATTCCCCACGCATTGCTGCGGGTATTTGAGAAAAATTAAGATAGATTTGGATGTTGACACTGAAAATTTAGAGTATACATATCTATGATATTGGTAATGCAGGTTCATTTATAAACTTTGTGATGTAAGTAAATGACACGGCGACTATAGGAAATAAGTCAAAAACAACACGGTTTAACTATATCGACATATATCAAACGGTAATACAATAGATATATATTTTTTAGAGGAACTTGATTTGCATATGCCAACAATGGTCGATGTATATATTATATATGTAACCTGCACAAAATCCACGACAATAGATAATGGGTGAATATAACTGATAATTTCCAAATTGCATTACATACACAATAGAACACAAACGCACTAAACTACCACAGGAGACGATAATATGCGGGGACAACAACATGGAGTATAGCATATATATAAATAAATAAATAAATATGGAGGCCTTGAACGAAAAGGCATATAGAGTAAGCAGTTAGACCATGATGAGTAATAATCATTGGTCATTGAAATTGGATGTTGGATAGGATTCCGTAATGGCAGTAAAATTGGTGGCAGGTAGGAGCAGAAGTTGAGCGGGTGTTTTGTGTATGGGGCAAGATGTAGATGGTGCCTTGGCCGAGAGTGATGGATCCAGAAATTTATTGAATGGTATGTCAGATAAAATTTTCATATTCAATCCAATAAAATTTGCTTACTAATTCGGTAAATAGCTATAAACTTATATCTTAATTTGATATGTGGGCACTAAATAACATTATATGTTTCAAATTCAATAGAAATTTATATAATTACAATATAAATATAATCAAAATAATAGATGATGCAATGACTTTAAAGAAATAATTAATTAAACAAAAGTCACACCTGATCGAGTCCAGTGACTGGGACACGGAGTCGCTGCCGTCTTCCTCGCTGTTGTTGGACGGATGCTGGTCACTGGGCGCCCCCTTCGCCACTGAACCCCGGTCCGGTTTCATGGCTCATGGCCTCACGCCCCCTTCGTGGCTGCGTCAGCCCTAGGCAGTTGGCGTCCACAGCTGACTCTCGCCGTCGCCGAGTTTTTTTTCTTTTTTACTCTCGGCGAGTTGGATGTGCGCCGGTGGTGCATGGCTGCGAGCGAATGCCGTCAGCATCACTACATAGTTGGAGCGGCACGCAGGAGTGGGTGGCATTGGCCCGTTTCGCTGCAAAGTCATGGCTGAAAGTACCGTTTCCTAATTTATTACGAGAGAAAAACACTGTTTATTCGTTAAAACAGTATGGCTCATAAGACAACTTTTATATCGATGGTGTGGAAAAGCAGGAAACGCCGACCTTTTATTTTCCTTTATTAGTTTAATGTGGGCGGCGGCATTTTCTTTTGCTTCGGCATTTACGGAGGAAGCAGAACGGTGTATGCAGGAGTCTCTGGCGTTTCTTTTCCTTTCGTTGTATATAACTCATTAAATAATGGGCCTTGGAGCCATACAGTCAGGTGACAGATGTGAGTGGACCTCACACCTCTGTAGCAGCTTGATGAATGAACCGACAGATTTTGCTTGTAACATGAATCGGACGGCTTAGGTTAGTTGGTGACGGGGATCGCTGTGGGATCAGATAAATCTTGTAGTGGTGTTTTGCTTTATAAGAGTTATAGATTCTTCTCGATGGGCATATAACCGTTTTCAAGGTACAATGAAGTAAAACTTGTGGGCCCATCTATCCAATTAAGGACTCCCTCCGCCCCCCGCTCCCAAAAAAAATCTCGCTTCCTAATGAGTCAAATAATCCACATTAAAAACATATAAAAGATATTACTCCTTCCGTTTCAAATTATAAGTTGTTTTGGCTTTTCTAGATACATAAATTTTATTGTATCTAAACATAATGTATATTCATTTGCATAGCAAAAACTATAAAAAGAAAAGTAAAACGACTTACAATTTGGAACAGAGAGCACTGTTTGTGATGCGTAATAAGCACCAGTAGAGAAATGACTTTCGGTTCGCACTTTTAGTCTCGATTGTGTTGGGATTCGAGATTAATGTGAGCATTAATCCTGAGTCTAAATTTTACATGCACCGAAGGCCATTTTATCCCGGTTGGTAATACCAACTGGGACTAAAAACTACCCTTTAATCTCGGTTTGTGTTACCAACCCGGACTAAAGGTCCTCTAACCTTTAGTCCCGGTTGATGTCACAAACCCGGACTAAAGGACTCTCACCCAGGACTAAAGGTCCTTCACAGGTGAATTCAAAAGGAGAGCGATCAGGACTTTAGTTGAGTTGGCAAGGAAGCTACGCATGAGGCAAGGGCTCTTGAGTTCGAATCTCACGCACCGTACACTGGTAGAGAACCGAGCTTTACTCCCTCTAGTGAACCCCCTCTAGTCCCGGTTCCCCACCCGGGAGCAAGCATCCGGGACTAAAGGGGGGGTCCTTTAGTCCCGGGTCAGGAACCGGGACTAAAGGAGGACCTTTAGTCCCGGTGGGTAACACCAACCGGGACTAAAGGTGCCTCCTGACATGCCACGATGGCCGGCACCTTTAGTCCCGGTTGGTAATACGAACCGGGACTAAAGGTTTTTTTCTTTTTTCTTTTCTTTTCATTTTTTTGTGTTTGAAGTCGTATTGTACGCTGCTAATTATACATTTATACGCGCGTATATTATGTTTCGGTTCAAGCACAATTAACGTATTAAATCACACAATTCAAGCATAGAAATATATATATATATATATATATATATGCATGCATGCATCATATATATATTTACATGCATGCATGCATATGTGTATTTTACATTATATTATTTCATGTGCATATATTACAAAAAGATTGCATTACAGTTGTTGTGATATAACAAGTTTTCTCTCATCCTCTAGCTTGGCTTCCATGGCAGTGTTGGGTCGAAGTAGAACTCGCTCTTGGAATCAATGACCTGCTCATTAAAAAATCCGGCTATAGACTCTTGAATTGCTTTGATTTGGTCTTGCCGTATGACCTTTTCCTCCAACCATCGAGTCTACAGGTTTGAATTAAAGGAAAATAAATTAATATATGTCCATATATTTATATAAAGATATAGTAACACAATCAATAATAATAATTAAATGAATATATAGTGTATTTTTAACGTACTTTGAGTCTCTCTGTAGGAGTTATTTGGGAGATCACCTTGATAAACTTGCAAACATAGTAACCACAGTAGTTGTTCCCCTGTTCCTGCCTCAGACACCACTTTACGAGAAAAAGATTTATCATCCAATCTGGTGATCCGGTAAAAGCTATGTTTAATTAATAAAGATGATGCGATTCAGGGGACTTACTTTCAAAGGGATTACATTCAGTGGCGCTTTGCATTTTTCCATGTGTTGCTTCTCAATAAAGGTTTTCCAAACACTGCCCAGTAAAAAATTTGCCACATCATCAGATATAGTTAATCATCATGTTTGTGTGTATATATAGTTGCTAGAGATCCCGAAATTACCTCTGGATAATATCTATCATATCTTGGTAATCTTGTTGTGGTTTTCTCATCGAGTCATAGATTATCAAGTGACTTTTCACCAGATCGATGTCCATCAATATCCAGTGATTGCTGCATGTGTTTATAGGATATAACGCATAACACTCATTAATTAACTAGAATCAACATATGAGCCATTAAGGATGATCGATATTATTAACACTCACTTGAAGTTATAGGGAAAGAGTATATCCTTCTTGTGGCGTTGGTTCACTAAGAAGTTCATGAGGTTACTCTCTGACTCAGACTTCCAATTAGTCTTTGGAGTAATTGGGTCATTGAATATTATATGGGGATCAACAAAATCAATTTCATTGTAGCCTTCCTTTCTGAGCTCTGTCATTGTAAATCTACATATATATAGTACTTGTTAGGATAATTTATATGCATATACACACATATGATGAGTTTAATAATAGATCGAAAGAATTATTACTTATAGGCAATAACAGCTAATGATAACT